TTTGCTACGTTATTACCAACACCTGTGAAATACTTAGAAATTCTTTTAATTTGCACCTTTTGCTACAAATCAGCGACACAAAGGAGTTGAATTCTGCCATTAAAGGAAGAAACATAATTACATATATATTAATAAGTCATAACAGGTGACAATTATTTCTGTACCATATCCTCATATAGAAATGAAGAAACCCATGAAGCATAGAATATTTTGTATGGAGTAACGACTTGGAAATTTTTAACAACGGAGTGCGAGACTTAACACATGCTACACTGCAGACCATTGATTAAATTGATATAGTAATGAGAATGAAGTTTCATATAATGGACAGGATATTATTATGTTTCACAACGCTCGAAACTCCATACTTTGGGTATTTGAATATAGTGTGCCTCTTTAGTACCTAATGTGAAATAATGTTTACTGAAATCTATATGCATACATTCAAATATCGGGATGCATATACATGCATTCGAAATAAAATGATTTTTTAAATATTTTTCATCGATTGGTGAGAATCTAACCCACCACAAAGATTTAGAAGAGATTTTATTGGACAAAGATGATTATGATGTAGATATTGTACTGGATCTTACTACTGTATCCCACACTAATAAATAGTACCTTTTACTAGGCAAAACACTCCTTTTTATACCCTACACCACATAGTGGTAAGGGCATAATGTATTTCTGCATTTGTTTGTAACATGAGGATCTTCATATAATCACTTTCTAAGTCGATTTAGACATGCAACTCCGTCTGCCCGTCCGTCTGTCCATGCATTTTTGGTGTCCATGATGTTTGGCCGAAGGACAAACCCTTTTAAAATTGGTGTGAATCGATTCAAATTTAGATATAGTTTCCATATATATCTTTAACCGATTTCGGGTGAATTGGTACATCCGACCGAATTCAGTCTAGAAGCAAGTACATCGAATTCGGAGAAAATCGGTTGAGATATAGCTATAGCTCCCATATATATGTTTCGTTCGTTTTGGTGTTTAAGTCCCTTAAATTCGTAATATGCATTCGAAAACAATGATATTTGGTACCAGATATCTTATAGAGCTCGGAAATGCCTGTACCAAATTATATCAAGATCGGCTGAGATTTAGATATAGGTCCCATTCATATCTTAAACTGATTTCGGGTTAATTGGTTCGAAATGGCTCGAAAAGTATAGGAGCGACTTAATCGAAACCCGCGTCGCAGTGGCCGAAAAATGACTCGTGAGCTGAATATATCGCAATATTTCATTCGGCAAATATTGAAAAATGAGCTCGGGGTAAAACCATTGAAAAAAAAACAAAATAATCGTTTTACATGCCAAAGAGGTCAGCTGAAAGTGTGCACCTTCGGTTGGCCACCTCAACTCAAGCCGAATATAATCGTGAAAATATTCTGGAGGAAGATACAAAATACAGAAAAGTGAGAGATACCGTTGCATGATAACCAATACCAATCATTCTAAGTCCAACAGATGGACTGAATTGCATAAATCAAGTCAGAAAGTATTTCTATGCAGATCATCAAAATAAAGTATGGGTCCATCTCGCTTCCTTCTTCATGTAACGAACAAATGCACAAAGACATTGTTTAAGTTGGCCTTCAACTTCCCGAGTCCGGTCAATCACGGATGCTGATTGACACCACTGGTATCTCCTCGGCAACTTCTCTCGGCGAAGACCGTAAAGTGCAGGTGCCACTGGGCGGTGGTTGTTGTTGTTTAGCTCACTTTAATACATACGAGACTCTGCTCTCATTGGAAACAATTGTAAATGTAGTAGTAGTAATCGACAAAAATTCTCGGCGATTGCCGCGATCCTCTGTGATTGCATGAACCTCGGCGTTCACTTGTCATTTTGTAGTTGAAAAGTAAACACTAAGGTCTCTACGCCACCCCAAATTACACAATAAACAACCAACCTTATTTTAAACAAGTAAGCAAAGGCTATAGTCGTGCGGGGACGACCATGTGATACCCTACAACACTACAATATGTTAGAAGCCCCCCTAAAACCCAGATCGATTTTAAAAGATTTCGCTTTTGAAATTATGTCACGGAGCACTGACCTGACCAGGGACATTGGCCCAATATTTAAGCACTCCGTCATGCTGTTAGTTGTTGTGGTCCATTTTACATCCAAAATGCTAGAATCCTTACCTGTCCTTAACTCTATCCTCAGGCATGTCGATTGGTTTCAATTGTGTGATTAGGACATTTTTTTCTGTTTTTGGTTCATTTGAACCCCTCTGCATCTCTAAATTTAGACTCATCTAAATGCTTGTCACGGTATTTGGCTATATTCGTCAACGAAATCAGCATAAAAAAGCTAGAAAGTTCGGCTTTTGCGTATTTCGGATATCGCCTGTAAGTAATGCTGGTATTTTTTCACACAAAAGTAGTGGTCCATTCTACTTGTTGTCCTAAACTCTAACTTCACGCGAGATCTCGTGTCCTTTAGTTTTCATTTGTGATCTTTATAACAGCTGCAAAATCAGGAACATTTTTAGTTGTTGGTCCATTTCTACCCAAATATATTGCGGACATCTTTAAAACCAATAGGCCTATCCCTTCTGAGCCTTACCCTACCCTTGTGGAATTTTTTTGTGAGGATCGGACGATTATAAAAACCCCGACCTGGCAAGGTGAAAAAATATTATAAAATGTACACTTCAATATAATAAGTCAAATTGAAAAAATCGCATGCGATAAAAAATATGAAAAACAAGTAAGCAAAGGCTATAGCCGTGCGGGGCTGACCATGTGATACACTACAATATGTTAGAGACCCCCTTATGTCCAAATCCTTTTTAGAAGATTTAGCTTTAAAAACTTATGTCACGAAGCACTGCCCAGATATTACCCTAAGCATTTTAACCAGGGACATTTGCTCAATATTTACGCACTCCGTTGTGCTGTTAGTTACAGCTAAATATTATCCAATGGTCATCCAAAATGCTAGAATTCGTTCATGTCCTTGGCTCTCCTCTCAGTGTCGATTGGCTTCAATTGTGTAATCAGAAAAAATTTTCTGTTTTTGGTTCATTTGAACCCCTTAATATTTTGCGATCATCTCTAAAAGCAAGAGGCCCCTCCGTATCTCCAAATGTAGATTCACCTATATGATTTGCTTGTCTACGATAATTGGCTATATACGTCAACGAAATCAGCATACAAATGCCAAGTTCACCTTTTGTGTATTTTGGATATCGCCTGCAAGTAATGTTCTTATTTTTTCAGACAAAAGTAGTGGTCCATTCTGCCCGCTGTCCTAGACCACCCACTAAATATTACCTGATGACCATCAAAATTGGAAGGCTTCTGCCCAGCCCTAAGCTCTAGAACCGTGCCAACTTCCGCTTCGATTGGTCTATAATTGCGACCTGTAGAGCAGCTGCAAAATCATGAAATTTTTCAGTTTTTGGTCCATTTCAACCCATAAATATTATGCGATCATCTCCAATAGGAATAGGCTTCTATTCTGACCCAATCCCCAGCTCCATTCTACATTTCGTGAAGATCGGGCCATAACTGCGACCTGTAGAGTGATTACAAATTAACATGGACAGACGGACGGACGGACATACATAGCTAGATCAACTCAGCTCGGCGAGCTAGGATGATCCATATATACTTTCGTATGTGGGAAACCAATATTTCGAGGTATTACATAATTTTTGGCCCAATCAAACTTATAATACCCCCAACACATTGTGTTGTAGAGTATAATTAAAACCAATCACTACTTGTGTTTTATTATTTCTTTTTTTCACCTCCTCACAATTTCCCCGCCGAAACAGGCATCAGGGTGTGCTAGGGCATAATTATAGCTCTAAGTGATTACAATGTAGTGTCAAAAACCGGCTTATAGTACTTTTTAGTACTCATAAGCTCATCTGATGCCTCGTACCATATCAAGCTACATGCGAAATTTCAAAACTCAAGTCATAAAATAGAATAGAATTTAACCACTTTTTAGCAGTTTTTACTCCTCTTTACTACGAATTTCCAAAAACCACCCCTCCATCATAGTATGGAGGGTATATTAAGTTTGTCATTCCGTTTGTAACACCTCGAAATACACATTTTAGACCCCACAAAGTACATATATTCTTTATCACCCGAAAATTCTAAGTCGATTTAGCGATGTCCGTCCGTCTGTCCGTTTGTGGAAATCACTGTAGCTTCCGAACGAATTGAAGTATATTGATAAAATTTTACTCAAATGTATGTTATGTCTGCAGGACTTCTGGTATTGAAAATGGGCCATACAGGTCCACGTTTTGGTATAGCCCCCATATAACGGTACTTTCCGATATTCGGCATTTTAATGATTTTAGCGACATTTTTCACCGGAATTATTTCAAATTTTATATTTGCAGTTCGTAATAGATAGTACAGCCTAAGACAGAAAATTGTCTATGCAGGTCTACGTCTTCGTATAGCCCCCGTATAACGGTACCTTCCGATATTCGGTATTTTGAAGATTTTATCTACATTGTTACCGATTTTTTTTAAGTTTTGCAGGTCCATGTCGTCGTTTAGACTCTAATATGATAGGTAGAGTCGGTATTTTTTAAGATTTGTTGTTAATTGTTGTTGAGAATTGCCAAATTCGTTCCAAACGGTAGAGGGTATTCAAAGTTCTTCCCTGTCCAACTTACAGCTTTGTTACTTGTTTTGATTAAAACTTATTGCATTTAACATATAGCATTTCAAGATATTAATTTATTTTTTAATTTAAAGAATACATATTATACCACAATAACAAATGTCTATGCATAAATTTAAAATTCTCCAAAATAATATATCTCCAGCCAAAACAAATATTTTTCTATTATTTTTTCATCAGAGTGGAATAAATCAAATTCAAAGATTTCTTCAGATACAAACCCACACACATACATAAATATCTATAAAATCTCATATATTTACCCAGCTATTCTTTTTTTTTCTTTTTTGTTTATAAATGTCAACAATAACAATCAAACTTACCTGTTGACGTTGATGGTAAATGCTCCGACATTTTGTATAATTTCACTATTTATTTATTTACAAAACGGAAGGAGAAGGGACACGCCGCCGACACAGCAAAATGTCATAGACAGCAGCAAGAACAACAGCAACAACACCAAGTTTGCTGCAGACAGACAGACGGACACAAGGTTGGCAAAGAAAGGCCAACAGCTGCGTAACGAACGTGAAAATGGGGCGTTACATTCAGTCACAACAATTCCTTGGTGGCAGGATGAAAAACTTTCGTTTGTTGGTGATGACACATCAAAGGGAACGGCTTTCGTCAGCAGTGAGAGTCGGAGAGAGCGAGCGAGCGAAAGAAGGAATTGCAAAATAAATGAAACAATGGTGTCGGCGCAAACGGTAAACAGGATAAGCCCAACGGATGTAGACAACGTCAACGCTGGCTGTGATGGTGATGCGACGGAGATCCCAGATTTAATAACACCAGGAGGCAGCTACAAAGGCGTAAGATATTTTGTGTTTGTTGTTGTCGTAGTCTTATGCTGCCACAAAAGTTGGATGGCATCAACAGCTCCAGATAATTGTTGTGGGAAATAGTTTTACTCCAGCCCGTTGTTTTTTGTTGAAGAGTGAAGGGGAGAAAAGTTTTGGCACTCTCTTTTTCCTCTAGACTTTGTGGGTGGTATGGTAGGTGGGGGGAGAAAACAACTCTGACTGGAAAAAAAATTTACTTGTTGTTGTAGTTGATTTTTTTGTTTTGTTTATAAATTGCTTATCAAGTCTCAAAGGTTATGGTGGCGTTTGACATTTGCTGTTGTTGTCTTTCTTCTTTGGCAATTGCTTTTGTCGTTGCAAGTGACGTCATTATTGTAATTTTGTTCTTTATTTTTTAACAATTATCCAGATTGCTTGTGCTTTTCAAGTTCCTTTTGTTATGTATGTGTATGTGTGCGTGTGTTTGTTTGTTTTAGTGTTTTTCCTGTTCTCTGTTTTTCTTTACTCCTCTAGGCCTTTTTTGTTTCACATAAATTGAGCATTTCATTCCTTTGTTTGGTGCCACACACAGCATTCACTACATTGTGCAAATTTTCCATTCTGAAAAATCTCAAATATGTATTTCCGGTTTTTCGTAGTTATCCATTCGCTTATCTCCAACCATCCAGAAGTTGTGTTGTGGTTTTTGTATCTGCAAAAAGGAACATTTGTTGTTGGTATTTAAAAATAACTAGAAAGGTTACACAGTGGGTTTAAATGTTGGATTAATATTTGTTTGGAAAAGTAGACTAGGAAAATATATTAAAACATTAAATTGAAATTTAGACACAATAAAAAGATTTTGAGCGATGATTCCCACACTTGATACTTAATATATTCTCAAAACTCATTTTTTCTAAATAAATTTGCGAATATTTTCCTGTAAAACCTTGGAAAATGTGATTCAATAATCCACTATATTTTTTCGGTAAGACCTATTTAGGGGTATTCTGAAGAAGTAAACAATGGCAAATTCAATGGTAACTGCTATATTTCCGATATTGATATGTCTTCGATTTCAGACTATATAAAGGTCAAACGTGGAAAATTTATAAAATAGCGATTTCGTTGGAATGTGACTTTCAGTTTTAAAAATGCTAGTTGTTGAATGGAAATTTTGGAAATTTCAAACAAAAGTGATGGCCCCTTTCACACCCTAAATATTATCCGATGACTATCCAAAATAATCCCATCCAAAGTAATGCTTCCATTGCTCTATTATTTTGACCCAGAGAGTCTAGATCAACCCAGCTCATAACATCGTGTGTCTAGGACCAACATTTCTAGATGTTACAAACTTTTTGATCCAATTAAGTAATATTCGTATTGTTGTAGGTGAAAAACTCCACAACTTTTTAAAAATCTTACGGTTTCTGTCCTGAAAAACCTTAATTATTCAAAAAGTCTAAAAAATTTTTTATGGATGACCTTATTTATTTGTTTTAAATCCACGATATTCAAAAATGAAACTACTCTAGAACACAAAGTCGTTGAAAAATATATCTTAAGATAGAAGTGTTTTTTCGAGCTTGAGGTCTTTGTTGTTGTATTTATTTTAATATTCCAATATTTCGAAATTCAATGAATTTCATCTTCAGGGAAATAGTCATGTGTTTAAATACTAAATTGAATTTTTATTGCAATAATGTAACTTGACGGAGTAGAAACGCTACGCTAGCTTTAAGTTAATTATAAAAATTCAATTTAGTATTTAAACACATGACTATTTCCCTGAAGATGAAATTCATTGAATTTCGAAATATTGGAATATTAAAATAAATACAACAACAAAGACCTCAAGCTCGAAAAAACACTTGTTTCATTAAAATATAAAAAGGTCGAATAAAAAGGAAAAACATTAATTATCTTAAGATAGTTTAATATTCAGTTAAAAAGAACCACGATTCATAGCCAATACACCGTAAATTGGAAAGATCACATATAATAGACTCCCTCTTCAGAGGTAGTCATTGACAAACCTCCTCTTCACCAAGTATATATCAAATTTTCCTTCAAAGTCCGGCAACAATAGTTCGACAGAATTATTTTTTTTAAATTTTGGGGAAATTCCGGTAACTAATGGAAGTAGAGCTAAAAAAGAAGATACGGCGTTTTGATAGTTTACATTGCAAAGTAACCTAAAAAGGGAGGAAGTTTCCGACTTCCACATTTTTTCATATTTTCGTATTCGTAAGATTCCTTGGAATTCATGCATTTAAAGTATTCGAAAATACTGCAGTTAAAAAAGGAATATTTTTTTTTCGAAAATGTTAATCCTCAAGCAAGTGAAAAAGGGTATTTTTTTTGTAATTTTCATATCCTCAACCATATGGCTATAGTGGGTATATATTATTTGATACAGCCACAACGTGCCTCATCGAAATAACTGCTTTAGACACGGACCAAATTAGTTTTAGGAGTCTGTCGTCCCCTCTGTCTGGCTAGTGCGCACGTTAACTCTCAAAGGGATTATCTGATTTGGTCCAAACTTGATGCATCGTAATTTTATTGTCAAATATATTATTCTGGTACCTCTGCCACAAAGGGTCAAAATTGTGAATAACTATAAATCTCATACTTTAATATACTCTAAACTTCACACATTGTAATATTTCTACCAACACAATATATGTTGTGAAGATAATAGATATCGACCCGCCCCTTCTGCCACCTCCCCAAAAAGGGTCAAAATTTTCAAAACTTGTATCTCTATTATCACAAATTCTTTTAAAACTTAGTAACCAGAGATCTGTTTTGAATACAGAACTCTGGTACTTCCCAACAAAAGGTTTATGTTTTGATAAACAATTATCAAAGGGATTATCTGATTTGGTCCAAACTTGATGCATCGTAATTTTATTGTCAAATATATTATTCTGGTACCTCTGCCACAAAGGGTCAAAATTGTGAATAACTATAAATCTCATACTTTAATATACTCTAAACTTCACACATTGTAATATTTCTACCAACACAATATATGTTGTGAAGATAATAGATATCGACCCGCCCCTTCTGCCACCTCCCCAAAAAGGGTCAAAATTTTCAAAACTTGTATCTCTATTATCACAAATTCTTTTAAAACTTAGTAACCAGAGATCTGTTTTGAATACAGAACTCTAGCACTTCCCAACAAAAGGTTTATGTTTTGATAAACAATTATTCGTTTGAACTTGGAAATGAATTTTAGATTTCCTTAAATTTTTCCTCATACCAAAATTTTTTCCAGTAAAAGATGAAGTGGAATACTTCGGTCCATCTGTTACCTCACGTACAGCTTCCAAAAATTATTACACATCTCATGTAAAGGAGAATGAAGTAGTCGATTTGGTCCAAATCTGGCACATTTATATACATTGACCTACTCCATTGGAACTTCCCCCATAAAGGGCCAACAGTTTGAATATTAGTACATAGAGTACACACGATTTTTTTCGGGTTCAAGTGGAGACTAAAACTCGTTGACCATTCTGGAGTAACTCGTTGACCATTCCGGAGCTCAGGTAGTGTACATAATAAAAACCCGATCCCATCTTATCTGGAAAGATGTCTTCTTCCACTCGTACGGATAGATACCCGAGGATGTCTAACTCAAATAAGTTTTCTTTGGAAAACCACTGTGAGTTGATTTGCATGGCAATTTGATCACGTGATTTAGTTCTGCTGTAGCATATCGTTGCGGGAGTCTATGCAAGAATTAATTTGTTTTTTTTTTTTTTTTTTTTTTTTGTCGACATGGTATCCATGTTCTTTTTTATACGATATCGTTCATTTTGTGTGGTCTTGCTTTTCCTTTTTATATCGTTTATGTGTTGATGACGTCACACAGTACAGTCGGTGTCACATAATCGGGAATTGGAAAATTTTGCAATCCTACATTTTCATGCCTAAACAAATTCTATAGGAATTTGGGTCGACAATCCAAGAAAAATTATGAGAATTAAAAAATTCCAACATACCATATTTTTATAACCTGTATTATAGATTCATTGCAGCTATAATTTAAAACTGAAAGCAACTATTTAATACAGGGGAGGAATTCCTACTCTTAATTTCTACTAAGGCGTTTGTGTTTGAACCGATATTTATCAAATAAATATCGCCATCCTATGTGAACTGATATTACGCTTTATAGGCACAATACGCAGCTATATCCAAAACTAAACCAATATCTATACAATATAGCTATATCTTAACCGATTTTCATCAAGTTTGATATATTTTTTATACCCTCCACCATATTATGGAGGGTATATAAAGTTTGTCATTCTGTTTGTAACATCTCGAAATATACATTTTTGACTTTTGATATTGAATATGGACCATGTAGCTCCACGTTTTGGTATAGCCCCCTTATAACGGTATCTCCCGATATTCGGTATTTTGATGATTTTAGCGAATTTATTCTCCGGAATTATCTCAAATTTGGTATTTAAAGTTCGTAATAGATACAACAGCCTAAGACAGAAAATTGTCTGTGCAGGTCCACGTCTTCGTATGGCTCCCATATAACGATACCAAGCGATATTCGGTATTTTGATTTCATCGACATTATAACCGATTTGTTTTAGCTTCGCATTTGAATATTGTAATGGCTTATGACAAATGTTACC